AAACTACATTTACATCTTTTATCTTTAAAAACATGAAAAAGAGGCTCAGAGTGGATCTTGTTACTGAACTTGTTTCATAGAAACTTTTTAAAAACTTCAATATAATAGAATTTTTTGTGAAAATTTTGCATATTTTCTTTTTAATATTACCAAAATAAAAATAATCAATTTAGGTTTCTTGCTAAAAATATGAGGGAAAAATACCATTTCCCAGTTATCTTGTTTTCTAAAAATTGTCAGCATCTTCTTTCAAAATTTTCCTATAAAAAATGAGTGCCATCACAGAGTATAAGGTAGTAATTGATGAGCACGCTGAATAAAAAACATCTCACTTTTACAGTTTTTGGTTACATTAAGATTTATTCATATTGATAAAGCATGATACTCATTACCCATTTGGTTTAGTTTTTATATGCACATGTCAGTCATTTAATTTAGATGATTAAAATTAATATTGAAAAGTAAAAAAGCTTTTACATTTTTGTTTCCTATTTCTCACAAGGTAAGTAATTTTTCAGTCGGATAAAATTATACTCAATTTAAAAGTCTAAATTTATATTAAAATAAGTAGGATTTGTGTTTCTTTAAGGTAAAATTTTCATGATTATCATCAAGATATTTTTGCTTTACAGAATGTTGTCTAAACTCCGATGTGTGTGTGTGTGTGTGTGTGTGTGTGTGTGTGTGTGTGTTTTAAGCAAATAGGCTATTTTTCTTCATGAGCTATGTAGATATTTTCACTAACCCATCTGGTTTAGAAGCCACAGCTTGAATTTTAATAAGGCAATATTATTTACTGTACTTGTTCATGCAGATTTTTCAGTGTTTGCACTGTCTTGGTAATCTTCTCTGTGAATGGATCAAATTACCTTTGCCTTTCTTGGCAATTTGGAAATAAGTTTTGGCACTGGATTGGACAATGAAGTTCAGGGTTGTGAGACCTTAGTATTTACAAATCCAAAGTGATGAACACTAGATTTTAAGCCAGGAGTCAGATTCCTTTGCTCACTGTGATACTTCCTATAGTCAGATGAGCTTCCGCTGCAGCTCTGTTATGTTTTTCAGGCTCATGGGACATTGTTCCGTATAAAGAAGCAGAAATACATTAAATAGCACATTTATAAGTTTTAAAGAGTTAATTCAAACACATAATGTCAGCAAAACTATTACTTTCAACATTGATAATGTTATTGTGCCGGTCGTGGTGGCTGATGCCTGTAATCCCAGCACTTTGGGAGGCCAAGGTGGGCGGATCACGAGGTCAAGAGACCGAGACCATCCTGGCCATGATGAAACCCCGTCTCTACTAAAAATACAAAAATTAGCCGGGCATGGTGGCTCGCGTCTGTGGTCCCAGCTACTCGGGAGGCTGAGGCGGAAGAATCGCTTGAACCCGGGAGGCAGATGTTGCAGTGAGCTGAGATTGCAGTGAGCTGAGATTGCACCACTGCACACCAGCCTGGTGACAGAGCAAGACTCCATCTCAAAAAAAAAAGATAATGTTATTGTGAAATGTGCTACATTAGTTGAACTTGCCTCTTTGTAGGTCTGCCTTGATGAGTTTTGGGTTATATTAGGTCATATTGGGAGAAAATCATAGCTTAAATATTTTAAGATTTACATTTTTCCTGAAATATAAGGGCTGGGAGAATATTTTCTAACATTTACATTACATACCTTGATAGTCTATCTTTTAGAAAAGGGCACTATAGTGTTTTAATATTGACACTGTTTCCATTCAGTTAATTTTTTGTTTTGTTTGAGAGACAGAAAGGTCTGACTTTGACTGGAGATTATTAAGAAACAAATATTTCAGATGGTTGCCCACAAGTTCTGTTTTTCTTAGGGACTTCTTTTGTGCAAATGAATAATCACATAAAGTTTAAGTAATTCAAATTTCAGAGTAAATGTACAGAATGATATAGATTTTTAGAGGTCCTAAAGTTCACGAAACTTTAGAAAATTGAGAAATGCCCTCCCTTGACACTTAGTCTACTATGTTATTTGGTTTTCTGATTTAAATATGTGTTTAATTAGTTGTTGTTAGTATGCAATAGCCTACAGAGAATTGAAATGAATGCCCTCTGACTGTGAGACAATTTGGTACTTTTCAGAGAGAGTGAAATGAAGGGTTATTGACTAAAAGGCTCCAGCCTCTTCTAAAGCGTCTCACCTGCCATGATACCTCTCTGGACATAACCAGTCTCTGGAAACACTGAGTGAGATTAAACACAACAGAAACCACATGTCCCCTTCCTAGGAGTCTGCAGCTCTGTGACACACCATAGATGTTTTGTCTAGTTTCTCATACATAATCCACTTAGTCTGAAGTGAATAAATGGGCAGAAAGTTAACATGAGGAACTGAACATAATACTAGTGAATGAACCAGTAGAAAAAAATAGGGATTTCTGTCTGTACATCTGTTGGTCTCTGACAGCTGTTCTTTGCTTATAAAGGTGATGCTCCTCTGGCAATCCACCCAGAAGTGACCAGGGACTTCCAAGTCTAGGTGAAACACAAGCTTTTTCTCTGGTTAGGGGAGTGCCCTTTTACCTGCTCCCCAGTATTTGGGAAAGATATTTCAAATATGACTAATTAAGGAATAGAAATACACACTGATATGTACGCTGAATGAGTTCCTTCACTCAAAATACTTAAAATCTATTTCATAATATAGGGTTAAAAGTCTAGAAACATTTTTCATTTTTCATTTTTCCAGCACTATATTTTTGAAATTGAGGCTGCTCTTTGAGGAATGCAATATAATGATGGCATTTTGGATTAATAATATTCCATCTTCTAGAAAAGAGTTTATATGTTAAATGGTTCCTATGAGGAAAGATTACTTTGGCATTTAAATTTGCTGCTTGATTTTAACTTTTTTTTTTTTTTAAATAGCATTTCCTTTAGTTGTGACTTTGGTTTTTCCTGCTAGGGTTTTATAAATCTGGCAATTGAAGTTCTGGCTCATAAGCTCAGAAGGTTTTTACAAGTTATAGCTCAAAGGATACACAAGGGATGCACATAATGAGAACTCACCCTCATATACCTAGTGGTACAACCCCTTTCTCCTTTCTTTGCTAAAGTCATGGAATACACTATTATACTCTTAAATAAATTAAACCAAATTGTCTTTTAGGGTAGGCAGAATAAACAGAAGTCAAACAGAATCACAACAGCGTAACAAAGTTTTGCTGAAATCAGTCCACAATCAGTCCCTCTAATCTTGGCTTCAAACTTTTAGGAATATAAATGTATTAGCAATGATATTTTTCCCAGAAGAAATAAAGCTTAAACACATACTGTAAGGCAAGGAGCTTCATTTTAAATCTCTAGTCATGATCACTGGGGAAGACTTGTCAAAAACCTTTCTTTGTCTTATTAGCAACTGCTAGGCAGAAGATAGTGTCCGTTTCCTCAGAGCATTTTTATAGAATGGCTCATTTTTTGGTGGAGAAGCAAGACACTTCATTTAGAAAGAAAGTTGTGAATGGGCCCAAAATTTTCTATGAAATGTACTTTCTCATGAAAGGAACAAGACAGCCAGGAAAAGCCTTTACTGATCATTAATGAAAACACATATTCAGAAAAACTAGTAAGTCAATTTTGAATCAATAGGCAATAACTGTAATTTCTTATTGATTATAAACATTTATATTTGAGGCTACATAAGATTTTGTTTAATAATTTGCTTACTGTTGCTCAGGCTGTAGTCCCGTAGACATGACTGTCTGGTCCTTTTCATTTAAGTCTTTACATTAGACGTTAAAAGAAGAGAGGCATGGCTAGACAAAGAGGAGGCTCAAAAGACCGCAGAGAATAGATCATTTAGAATGTGTCAAATATTTCACAGATATTTACTTTCTAGTTAGGAAAGTATATATATATACAGATAGCCTATATGATCTAAAGCTCTTTATTTTTTAAATTGTTTTTTTTTTTCAGAAACCAATCAATTATGCCATAATCATAAATGAAGTGACTTGCTTCACCACATTCAAATTTAAAATTTAGTTAAAAAAATCTTCTGGATAAAACATCCAGCTACAAAATACATATTGAATGAATATATTTTCTTGTTACTGTTGCATGACTAGAGTTCAGGGATTAAAAAAAATCTTTAGGATATATACCTTATACTGAATTCTGATTACATTAATATTTATAGATAATATAAAACATTATAGGAAGGTGTCATTTTAAAATGCTAATATACTTGTTCTAGTGTTAAACAAGCCAACTAATTCACTTGGCCTCTGGTTCTTATATGTAGAACAATCTTCTCTGCTGAAATTGTTCTCCAGAAAATTTGAAATTTCTTGATGGTTTTTACCTATTCAGTCAGTAATAAAAGTCTATTTTTTTCATCTGAAAAGTAAGAAAGAAAAAGAGTAATCATAAGGAAAAATAATAATAGCGATAAGTATGGAGCATGCGTTATTACATGCCTTTAATAATTTGACAGCAGTTAAAAGGATTTGGATTATAATTCCATTTTTTCAAATTAAAATTAATTATCAGTCACAGCCAGAAATGGAATACTGTTGTAACTTTTTGGGTGACAGTGGAAAACAATTTGTAAGATTTCAATTAATTTCCCTGCCACATATATCAGGTAAAAGTTTCAGTATTATTATTTTTAGGTAAAGAGTCTCTGAGTGAATCATGTGTCCAAAACTGATTCAGCATATACTCTGCAAAACAAAACTCTCTAGGGATGCAGTATATACAAACAATGCCTTTGTCTGAGGAAAAATTAGTTTTTTAAAAGGCAGAAGACTACCCCAGAAGTAGATGACTTTCAAAGACACTGTATTAAAGATGTTTGAGTACCTAAATAGCATTTTTGAAATATTAGAATCTATACTAGAATTTCTATCGAATTACATGTAGGGCTATTGTATTAACTTCTTGTGAGAACAAAGAAAATTCTTTGTGTTATACACCCCACAACTTCATTGATATAAAATGTTACCGCTAATTGGAATAAATTCTTACCTTCCCAATTGTAAGTCAGTGCTGCTCAAAATTACTTTCTGATAATGTGGCATGAGTAGCCTCACTTTCATCTATTAATGTCATCTCTTGTGTTTCTGCAAAATTTGCCAGAACTGATTAGAGAAGATATTAAATGATAATTGGACATTTAGTGCTCATCAAACAGAAAGTGACAGATGGGGCACTAATTAAATTATAGTTTTGACATTATTCACAATGGTTTATGACTCTTCAGTGATGACCTTCATGCATCTCTTCTCCATATTTTTTCCTTTGTTGGGAGGGAAGGATAGGATGTTGATTGGTAGAAAGAAAAACTGTATTGTAAAAACACTGAGCAAAGCTGAAATATTTAAAGTATGAAATTTCTAAACCTATCTATCAAGATAAAACATTGATCTTTGCTGAAATGAATAATCATAAAGCAAAAGGAAAACTCACTATAAAACTAATGGAGTAGAAAGAAAATATCTAGGTAATCATAAAGAATACACAAAGTTCACAACACAACAAACCTATTTCTCGGAAGGAAGACCTTTATTTTAATTTGAATTAAAAAATATAATTCTGATATCAGAAATGAGGATGCAGTGATTTTTGATAATGCTGTTTTTTGTGTGTTTACTCAAGCTTGCATTACTAGTTATCTCCACCAGCTAAATGAAGTACCTTGTTGAAATGGAAGGGGTGGGGGTAAGGGGGGATTAAAAGAAATTCTAAGCCACAGTTGCTGAACCAGAACTGCATTTTCCTTTTCAATTAAAAGAAAAAACACAGTGTTGATTACTTTCTAACTTTAGTTTCTTTAATTTTACTCCAGTGTTTAGTAGTTGTCTTAAAAAACACTAAATGCAAAAATTTTAGACTTGGATGCTTAACTTTGAGTTCCCATAGTGAACCCACTCTGTCTAGTGATTAGCCATAATTTAAATTTAAAATTAAATCATTTTATATAATGTCTCTTCCTGGTAATTTTCAAAATATACTATCTGCTGACATATATGTACTGCTGTAGTTACTATCAATGATGATACGTAAGTCTGATAACTCATTAGGAACCATTTCCTCTCCTATCCCTACTATACAATGAGTAAAACAGGAGGGAAGATCAATTGCTCTGATGTAATCTTTTCAACATGTAGAGGTATAGAAAAGATAGTAAGTGAATATATAATTTGTTCAGACTATTCTGCCTAAATATATTCCATAGTTTAGACATGATAACGAACTAGCCTATTCAATATAAGGGATTAAATGGAATGGCCACAGTCATGGGATTCCAGTTGTGTCTGGCTATCCCTGTAAATTCAGAGAAGTATGTCACTGTATTACTCAATGAAATGCAAATATATTCATTTAATAAAACTGAACAGTAGCATTGATAAAATTTTCTGCTTAATAGCAGGCTACTCAGCTATTCAAAATCTTTATGATATTTCTTTTCATGTTTTTATGTTTAATAGTAAAAGGCTAAATATGCAGTCTGCATATATGGGTGTTAAGGATATTTGTGTATGTTAATGCATTCTTTAACTTTTTATTGTTTTGAGACATGGTCTTGCTTTGTTGCCTAGGCTGGATGGCAGGTCACTGCAACCTCCACTTCCCAGGCTTAAAAAATTCTTGTGCCATAGCCTCCCAAGTAGCTGGGATTACAGGCCAATACTACCCTGCTTGGCTAATTTTGGTATTTTTAGTAGAGACAGGGTTTCAAATGCTGACAGGATGTGGAAAAAGATCTCTCATTCACTGTTGGTGGCAAGGTAAATTAGCATAGTCATAATGGAAAACAGTGTGGAGTTTCCTCAAAAAATTAAAAATAGAACTACCATATGATCCAACAGTTTTATTACTGAGTATATATCCTAAGAAAGTGAAATCAGTATGTTAAGGAGATATCTACACTCTTATGTTTTTTATTGTAGCACCATTCCATCCACGGTAGCCAAGATACACAATTAAATACCCATGCACAAATGAATGGGTAAGGAACACCCCTCGACCCCTGCTACATACACACACACACACACACACACACATACACACACACACACACACACACACACACACACACACACACACGCTGGAATAGTATTCAGCTTTAAAACAGAATGAAACCCCTTTATTTGTGGCGACATGAATGAATCTGAAGGACATTATGTAAAGTGAAATTAGCCAGGCACAAAATCATTAACACTGTATGTTCTCACTCATATGGGAATCTAATAAAGTTGATTGCATAGAAACAAGAAGTAGAATGATGATTAACAGAGGCAGGTATGGTGTGGGGAGCAAGTAATGAGAGAGATTGGTCAATGAATAAAACGTTACATTAGACAGGAAAAATAAATTCTGGTGTTCTGTTTCACAGTGAAGTGACTGTAGCAAAGAATAGTGTTTCTATTTCAAGATAGCTACAGAAGAAGATTTTGATTGTTGTCGCCAGAAAGAAATAATAAATGTTTAAAGTGATGGTCACGGTAATTACACTGATTCGATCTCATGCAATGTACACATGCATTGAAATGTCACACTGTACTCCCAATAGAGTTTGAACGGCTTTCCCCTCCAAATCTCACGCTGAAATGTAATCCCCAGTTTTGAAGATGGCACATGGTGGGAGGGGTTCAGGTCATGAAGGTGGATCCCTCATGAATGGGTTGGTGCTGTCCTCATGATATTGAATAAATTTTCACCAGATCTGGTTATTTAAAGTGTGTGGCACCTAATCCTTCATTATTTTGTTCCCACTCTTGCCATGTGATTTGCCTGCACCTACTTCACTTTCTTCCATGAGTAAAAGCTCCCTGAGGCCTCCCCAGAAGCCACTGGTGCTTCCTGGACAGAATGCAGAACTGTGAGCCAATTAAATTACTTTAAAGTTTCTCAGTGTCAAGTATTTTTTTGAAGTTAGGCAAATGGACAAATACAACTCCATAACTAAGTGCATTTATTATGTATCAATTCTAAATTTGCATATAATATTTTTGATTAAAAAACTAAGATACAAACATACTCATTAGCTTACACAAAGTCAAGGTGATCAATGTCTCTGTCTTCTACAACTATATCTTGTCTCACAGAGAGGTCTTCAGGGGCAATAACATGCATGGAGCTGTCATCTCCTATGATAACAATATGTTCTTCTGAAATACCTCCCGAAGGATTTGCCTCAGGCTGTTTTATAGTGAACATTTTAAAAACATAAGTAGAAATACACTCTAACAATAAAAAATATAGTGCAATAAATACATAAACCAGTAACATAGCTGTTTATTTTTAATATGAATTATATACTGTTTACAGTTGCATATGCTATACTTTGACAGAACTAAGCATGCAATAGTTTTGTTTACAGCGGCATCATCACATGAGGAAAATGTTGTGCTATGACATTACATTACAATGGCTATGATGCCATTAGACAAAAGGAATATTTTAGTTTAATTGTAATCTTATGGGACCACCATCACATATGTGGTTTGTTGACTAAAAACATCATGATTCCTCATGATCTCTCATGAATGAGTTGATACTGTCCTCATGCTACTGATTGAATTCTCACCAGATCTGGTTATTTAAAGTGCGTGACACCTAATTCCATTATTTTGCTCCTACTCTTGCCATGTGATGTGCCTGCATCCACTTCACCTTCCACCATAACCCTGTATTTAAGATATACATAAACACTCACACGGTGAGGTGACTACAACTACAGTTGAGTAAATTAACATATCCATTGTCTCACTTACCATTTATGTGAGTGTGTGTACATAAGTGTGCATTCACTCATCTTACCACATAAGATCACCTCAAATCTAATCTCTGAGCAAATTTCTGTCCGTGACACGGTAATACTAACTAGAGACATCATGTGGTACATTGGATCTACAGACTTATTTATTCTAGACCACTCTATCTCTTTACCCTTTGATCTATATCTTCTGATTCCCCCTCCCTCCCAATCCTGATAACCATTTTTCTATTCCTTTTTATATATTTGATTTCTTTCTTTTTTAAATCTTCCACATATAAGTGAGATCAGCAGTATTTTTTTCTCTCTCTGATTTATTTCATTGAACATATATCCACCAGCTTCATCTATGTTCTTGCAAATGGCAGGAGTGCCTTTTTTCTTGATGCTAAATAGTATTCCATTATGTATATATAGCACAATTGCTTTATCCGTTCATACTGACCATCACGTAGACTATTTTGACATCTTTTCCGTTGTGAATAATATTGTGATAATCACAGGAACACAAATTACTTTCATGTTTCTCTTCAGATTGTACACATCTTTCACTTTTTACTCCAGCACAGATTTTAATAAAGATATTATCCTAGTTTATTACATATAAGAAGCATTTCATATGGTTTTTATTGCTACTTCAGTTACTTCTATGATTTAGTGCCTTAAAGCAATATGATTATATTATCTTATACTCCTGTAGATTGAAAGTCTAATGCAGGTCACATTGGAAAAATCAAGGTGTCAGCAGGGCTGCATCCCATTCTGGAAGCTTCAGGGGGATATCTGTTTACTTGCCTTTCCCAGCTTCAGGAGGCCAAACACATTCCTTGGCTTGTGGCCCCCTCTTTAATCTCAAAGGCAAAGTCTGAATCTCTTTGACCATCTTCTATAATAACATCTCCTTCTGACTCTTGCATTCTGCCTCCATCTTTCATATTCAAGGATTCTCATGATTATTATTTGCTCACCTGGAAAGTCCAGGATAATCTCTGTGTTATAATGTTAGCAACCTTAGCTGAATGTCATCTGCAATCTAATTCCTCTTGGCCATGTAAAATAACATTCTCAGCTTCTGGGGATTAGGATGTGGGCGTATTTGGGCTTAGAAGAGTGGTACATTATTGTGCCTAACACATTCATAAATACATTTTTTTTCTTCCCCCAAAGTATGAATAAGCTAAGGAAATATTTCCTGGTAGAGATGTTCTGGTGACTTCTTTTGCTGAATAGATAAAAATGATTTTATTTATTTTTTATTTTTTACTGAACATAGTAATTGTATATATTTATGCAGTACAAAATGTTTTGATCTATGTATGCATTCTGGAATGATCAAATC